ATGTGCTGGACATCTTCGGCAAGCCAAACCGAAAGTTCTTCGAGACCTTGTCCTACTTCACCAAGGATGAGGCAGAGAAGAAGCAGCTGCAAAGCATCGTCGAGAACAGCGCCGAGGGCTCCGCGCTTTACAGGGACCTGGTCCATGACTTTGCTCATCATGCGGACGTCTTCAAGAAGTTCTCAAGTGCCCGGCCGCCCATTGAGCAGCTGATCCAGATGATTCCAGTGCTGAAGCCCAGGAGCTACTCCATCGCCAGCTCGCCGCTGATGCATCCGGACAGGATCCAGCTCTGTGTGGTTTTGGTGGACTGGACCGTGGAGACCACCAAGGAACTTCGCTTGGGTGAGTGCACAGGCCCGAAGCGAGAATGCTTGACCTTGCCACCCCATGCTCCCTCATCCTCCCTCTAAACCTCTCCCGCATTACTTCAGGCTACATGAGGCAGCAGAAGCCCGGCGCGCAGATCATGTGCGCCGTCCGGCAGAGCGCCATCGTACTCCCCACAGAGGCCACACGGCCGGTGCTGATGGCAGGCATGGGAACTGGCCTGGCACCGTGGCGTGCGGTGACACAGGACGCGCCTGCACACGAGACTGTCACCACCCACCACGGTTCATTTCCACGTTTCTATGGCTTATACTTATACTTATACTTATACCGCGCTTGCACAGGAGCGAATTATGCAACATCGTCAGGGGACGAAGGTCGGCCCTTGCATGCTCTTCTTCGGTGCTCGATACGCTGTGGAGACCCGGAGAGCACATGAGAGCATTTCCAGCTTAGAGGGAGTGCAACGTGTTGAGGTTGCCTGTCTGCTCATCCAAGGAGTACCTGTACAGAGAAGAGTTTGAGAGCTATGTGAAGGAAGGTGTGCTTAGTATGCACACGGCTTTCTCGCGAGAGCAGGCCGGAGACACGTCCCCAACCATCCTGTCTCCGTTTCGTGATGCGTCATGCTTGGTCTCGTTTGCCAGCAACATGCGGATGAGGCTCGCAAGATCTATGTTCAGCACCGGATCATTGAGGCAAGGAAGAGGAAGGGCGTTTGCGAGAGCCTGTAACCTTTTCCCCCCTGTGTGAGGCCGGCGAGAAGGTCGCAGACTACATGCTGCGCCAGGATGGCCACTTCTACGTCTGCGGCTCCGCCAGACAAGTTCCGGAGGACATTTACACCGCCATGAAGGAGGCGCCTGCTTCACTCATGCCAAGCGTCGTGTACACTTTGCCCTCATGGGCCTGCAGCTAGTACTGACAGCACCTGTCCTTGGCATGGAGCGGCGCAGGTGATCATGGCAAACGAGAAGTCAGGGTCTTGCAATGCAGAGTCATGCAGAGTCATGCAGAGTCATGCGTCTTCAAACGCAGGATCCGCAGCTCTATCATCCTGAGGTGCAACGAGGAGGAGTCGGAAGCCATCTTGTCAAACCTCAAGATGGAGGGCAGCCTCTTGGATGAGATATCGGCAGAAGTTGAGGCGTAAAGAGAGCGAGCCGGTAGCAACTGTTAAGCTCTTTGCACTGGATGTGTTGGTGGTGCTTGTTACCGTCTGCATCCGTCTGCCTAGGATACACAGTGGAAGCTTGGTCTTAACTTTTTGAAGCACGATCGGCATGGCTTGGCATTGCCACGTCTCTCTGAGCTCAAAAGTTGGCCAGAGACGCGGCTGCAAACATGCTACGTAGCACTATGGGGCTGAGGCTGAGCCTCATGGTTTCGCTGCTTCTTGGAACAATTGCTTTAATCTTTCTCAACTGGCGGATTCTGGGAGCAAGTGCTAGAAGTCTGGAACCGAGCAGATGCGAGATTCTTCCAGCACTTGATACAGGACCTGCTGAATTCGGTGCTCTTCCAAGTGCAGGGGTGTGCACCCCACCAGGCTTGAGTGAAGTCAGCAATGTTGACGGGCCGAGCCTCATCTTACGATTTTGTCGTTCAGCTTCGTGAAGCCCCGAGCTGAAAGTTCAACCTGAGTCACAAAAAAGGCCAACTCCGTGCAGATGAAGACGATTTGATGGGTGGGAGCTTGCTTAGGAAGAGAAAAAACACAATCACTTTGGATAAGATTTGTCTTGGGTTTTTCGGAGGCCCGAAGGGAAGAAGTCGTGGCAGAGGTCAGCCGATCGGCTCTCGGACCCTGCTTTTGGCTTGCCTTAAGTGATTCCCACTCTCGCCCTAAGTTTTTTTGCGCTTCCTGAATTTGAATTTTCATGCTCATCTCGTCCTAAATGTTTTTCGGGTGCCACTTGGGGCACTAGCTGTGAAGGCCAATTAAGCTTGAAATCTCCTTAGTGATGCATCTTATAGAGTTTCTAGTTGGCCAAAACAAGCTCCGATTTGGTGACCAACAAATGCGAGGATTCCGTCCCTGACACAGAACACCCACTCCAAACTTGCAAAGCCCGAGCTCTTGCTTATCCTAAGGAATGACCCCATTTTAAACCCTAAGTAGAGTGCCTTGGTTCCAGGAATGACCCCCAGCAAATGGGTCTCAGGGAATGACATGAAACCAAAGCGCAATCCTGAGCAGAACCACAGGGATCCCAAAGAGCGACCCCAAAGCGAAGCGTCAGCTTCCCGTCACGGTTCGGCTGACGCGGAGCTGCAATGCGCAGGCGCGAAGATCCAAGGAACGGTTTCTTGGAGCAAGCCATATGAAGGCACGTTTGACGATGAGGTTGGGCTTCGCATTGGCGAGGCTTTCAATCCTGGCTCTCCATGAAGGAGCTATGTGACGAAGCGCAAGAGGAAGGGTTGGAAACCTCCGACAAAGCATGAGGTGGCTGGGAATCCAGGTCTGCTGGCAGTGCCGCGCCATGGGCAGCGTTTGGGCCAGAGTTGCAGCTTCAGTTCATGCTGCAACTGCACGCTATGATGCAGTCCATGATGGAGTCGATGATGAGGAATTTCTTCGGCCAGTGCGGTTCAAAGGGCTTTTGTGGGTCTGGGGTGGGCCCACAGTTTGCTTCCGCAGTGGCCAAAGACACCGAGCAGCGGAGAGAACGTCATGGGCAAGGGTGCCAAGGATGTTGCAGATCAGGGGTACGGGCAAAGTCAAGGGCAAGTTTGCGGACATCGGGCCCACGTTGGAGGAGGAGGCCGAAGGAGAGAGTTTCGCTGCGGTTAAGGAAAAAGCAGGCCAGAGCAAGGGAAAGATGCAGAACCGAGTGCAGGCGCTGGTCAACCTGTCTGGGAGATTGTTGGATGGATGGCTCAACTTGCCAATCTTGGTGCTGATAAGCTGGTGACGGTCCCCATCGACCTTGAGACCGCTTTGGATGAGGGTTGTTCCAAAGTGATGGTTCAGTTGTCGTCTGTGGACAGCACATGGATGTGACGGGGATCCTAAAGGGATGCCCAAAAAGCCACATTCTTGTGGCCTACCTGGGGAGGCCATGAGGGAGCTGGATGACATCCAAGTGGACTTTCCGGTGGTGAAGTGGCAACTTCCAGCCAGGCTTCGGGGCACGCGGAGTGGGCCAAGTGCTCCAAGGAGAACATGGCCACGGTCTGGAGGCGTGGACAAGATAGCACCGGTAATCCTGAGCCAGGAGATGACCCCCCCAGCAATAGAAACATAAGTGGGGTCCTATTCGCATGTCTGAGGGGATGAGACCAAAAGGAAACCCTAAGCAGAGTCACAGGAATCCCACAGAGTGACCACCCCAACCCAAACCCGAAATACGGTCATATTCACATGGGCTCGAGGAAATGGAGCCATAGCGCATCTCTAAGCAAAACCGCAGGGATCCCAAGTGCTGACCGCTAAGCACAGCCGTGATAAAATTCACTCGTCCGAAATGACAGCCATCAGTTCCGGTACAGGCCTCCGCGGAACTGCTGTATACACGCACTGCCTTTTTTGGAAGGGTGCGGTGATAAATGGAGAGATGTTTCGTCCCAAATGATGTGCCGTTGCATGTTGAAATCCGGTTGACAGTGAGCTGCGCCCCCGCCCCGATGTCGCACTGCGACACGTGCTTCAACCGTTGAAAGATTTTCAGACTTGTGCTATAGGTGCCTCCATTTGGGCTTTTTCAGACACTTGACCTCTGTTGTGCAACCGTGGGGTTTTCGCCGCAAGCCATTTGGACAATATCCTCGAGCATCTTGTTTCAGAACCGCCCTGCCTAGCATGGCTCTTCGCGGCCAGCTGGGTGCTCAGTTGATGTGGGGTTGGTGGTGTGGTGGGGCAGGCGTGCCAGTGTGCCAGTGTGCCTTGCATCGTGCTGAGGGTGACGCCCTTCGGGCCGTATGGCGGCCTCTGCTGGGACTTCCTGCGCCGGGACCCGCAGCGGGTGTGCAAGCAGCACAAGCACTGCAAACACCACACGAGGCATGCTTCTTGCATTTTGCGTGTTCGTGAGGAGCGCCAAGAAGAGACCCCCGAGCGCCTGGAACCCCTGGGAGCAGCGTCCGGTGCGGCCGACATCGAGTATGAGCAGTTCATGAAAGCAAAAGAGGCCAGTTAAGAAATGTGAAGATAGTAGGAAGATGGTGGTGTGAAGATAGATGTTTCCTACTTGCAGGTGCAGAGGGCTATGTTCCAGCAAGAGAACAAGACCATCGTGCACCAATGCGCGGACACAGACATCATCGAAGCTGCGCAGGGCTCGGTGGCGTGCATCGACGGTAATCAGGCAGCAGCTCACGTGGCCTATGCCCTCAGTGACTGTGCCTTCATCTACCCGATCACGCCGTCGTCGCCCATGGGCGAGATGGTCGACGAGTGGGCTGCGCAAGGCAGCCGTGGGAGGTTTGGGGATGTTGTTTGCTCATGTAACTCATTTTCATTCAGTCTTCTTTGGAAGGGCTTGCTTGGTCTTGTCTCCGGGAGACATGGAGAAATGCGGTGTGCGACAGGCCTGCTGAACTGCTATGGGCAGAAGCTCAGCGTGACGGAGATGCAAAGCGAGGCAGGCGCTGCCGGAGCTCTGCACGGATCGCTGAAGGCAGGTGCCCTGAGCACCACCTTCACTGCCAGTCAGCCGGGTTGGCATTCAGCAGGTTGTTTTTTTTAAGACGTGTTTGAACATCTTTTGTTCAGCAGCGGCATGCAGCTGTGATTTCGCATTTCTCGTGCGTTTGGTGAGGCCAGGGCTTGCTTCTGATGATTCCGAACATGTACAAGATTCTGGGTTCTTGTTGAACAACATGTTTACATGTTTATGTATACCTGGGCCCAATTCAGATTAAAAGATGATAATGTTTCATAGTGTTT